TCATTATCACCATCATCATCATCACTACCATCATCTTCATCATCATTATCACTACCATCATAATCATCATCACCATCACTACCATGATCATCATCGCCACCATGATCATCATCATCACCACCATCATCATCACCATCACTACCATCATCATCACCATCATAATCACTACCATCATCATCATCACCATCACCGTCATCATCATCACCATCATCATAACCACAATCATCATCTTCACCATCATCATCATCATCATCATCATCACAGACTCCTGCAGTACCTGAACAACCAGCTCCTCAGAGTCTGAATCCTGACGATCGGCAGCACCGACAACAACTGACTGATAATAACAACACACACGGACTCTCTTCGTGAAGTTACAGTAAACTCACCGTCTCCTCCTCGCTTCACAACCACATGATCCCAGTTCACTGCAGCTCATCACCCAGCTCTGTAGTGTCCATGCGTCCCTCTCTGTCCTGTGACTTTTCCAACTGAACCACGGGGATCATGTTTCTGTGTTTTTTTTTTTTTTCCTCGGCTGGTTAAACCTCGTGTCGACCTGCGCACAGCTCCCACCTGCGACGTCTTGGAGAAGTGCACATCAATGTGGAGGAAGTCTGTGGTCATAATTCAATTCAATTCAATTCAAGTCCAAATAGATAATTAAAATCTATAAGATTGTTGTTCTTATATAATATTTATTACTATGATGAGGCCATAATTAGTTAAAAAGAAAAAGGAAATTGAAAAAGCAAATTTAAATTCTAAAAAAAATGTAATAAAGCCAAATAGAAAAGTTGAAAAAGGAAATGCTCAAAGTGAATGCTGAAATGCATAGAGGTGAAATAAGAAATGAAAAAATAAGAAAATAAACTCAAAATGTGAAATGGAAAAGCTTAAATAGAAATACTTAAATAATGGGCTCATATAGAAAAACTAAATATATATGTACTTATTTAGTTTTACATTTGCAATTTACCATTTGGAACTATGTATGAATCATCAACACTCATACTCCTACTATTATGCGAGTGTATATATAACCACAGCAGAATGCACAAAGTTTCTGTATGCGTAGGTGTGTGTGTGTTTGTGTGTTTGTTTTCTCTCATGTCCCTATGGAGACGTTTCCGTCTTCCTGCTGGTGAAGTGTGTGAAGCATCTCATGCTGGTGCTTGTCTGCCTGCCTGTAAAACGCCTCTGAAAAATAAGTCTCACAGCTGCAGATTTATAATGAACATAGAAGCCTTGCTGCGTCACGTCTTTATATGCATTGATAAACACAAGTGAGAAGAGTTCCTCTGGTGATACATAGTCAAGAGCTTTGATGGTGATATCCATTGTTGAACACTTTTAATTAAATCGAGATTCAGAAGAGAAGTGCTTTATTTATGCAGATAAATTTGTCAAAAGAAAAAATATCCATTATACAAACAAACAGGTTGTTATTTTCTACACAGAAACTGTGCAAGACAAAAGGAAAGCTGACAGCAGCTTCTGGAAGTACATGTATATATTAAAATAGTTTGTGTTAATTGACCTAATTCTATCACGGAAACATTATCAGTGAGAGCAAATACAACATGACAAGGTCCTGATGAGTAGAGTGTGGTGCGCACGCAGCCAAAGTGGAGGGTTCATGTCCTCTCAGTAAAAAACAAACAACACTCATTAAGACATTAGCTCAGAATTGATCAATACTAAATTTAAATGTATTGAATTTTAATGTGAGGAAGTACATTTTCATTTGCTTGTTGATCCTGAATTAGAATCAACAACTTGATTGGTCTTATCATTACAAAATACTCCTGCTGAACTTTAACTTATCAC